GGATCATTATGATGGTAGTGTTGGACAGAGTGATAGGGAGCCAGATCTGAGTCAAGAAATGAGGGGGTGCGACTCGGGATGTGAAGATGCCTGTAGAGAGAGGACTGTGATGTGGAGGAATCACATGTGGCCTAGACTGATGTAAGCATCAAAACTCAGATCTTAAGGAGGGGAGAGAGACAGAGACAGAGAGCGAGCAAGCACTGGAAGTAGCTAATGGGAAGTAGCTAGTCAGTCACTGATCCACCTCCAGGCACCAGTGGTTGGAGGGAGGAACACAGCCACCCTGGGTCAGGGTTGCAGGGGCAGCAGTGCTCAGGATTGACTGGGGTGGTGGAGTTAAAGGTGGCCTGAGCAAAAAGCACAGGCACTAGGGACGTTAAGTCGGGCCTGGCTGGCAGGAAGGGCTTTGTAGAGGACGTCTCTGAGCTGAGGCTTGAAGTATTAGCAGGAGTTAAGTCAGGTAATGTTGGGGGAGGGGAAGGGGGAGGGAAGGGATATATATGTGTAGGAAAGCATGATATCTTTGAACACTGAGCTCAGAAAATCATGAATGAACTTCAGCACAGCCAAAGATTTAGAATTGGTGCAATTAGGAGCTTTAGGTGAGGAACATGATTGTTTCCTCTTTAATATTTGCATGCTGGGGCTTAGGTATACTGAGCACTCTGAGCTCTATGAAGGAAACAAGACACACATTGGGCTTTGAACTTGTTACTTCCCCATGGGGATAGTGGGAAATTGTTTTATATAAATGTTTACATAAGGATTTGTTCATATCTCGCTCCATCAGTTTTTGAGAGCATCCTGTCTGCCCGATGCTCAGGCACTGGCCATACAGTGGTGAACAACACAAATATGGTCCTTTCCCTCTCTGAGCTTATAGTCTGCAGGCAGTTACATTGAAGTATGGTCAGTGCTAAGACGATGTTATTGGTGCTCAATGCCTTGGCCTCTAAACTCATCTGGGGGCCAGGGAAGAATTCTGGCGGAAGTGACGTTTAACCTGAAGGAGAAATAGGTTGCTGTTGCCAGAACAAGGAATGGGTGGTGGTGAAGAATTTTCAAGTGAACGGATGGCATGCATTGGGTTGGAGGTGGGAGAGGGCTATTTAAGGCACTGAAAGACATTGAGTGTTGTGAGAGATGAACCTAGAAGAGATAATGAGGGCCTAGACTGGCATCTCTATCTCCACTGAGCTTCTGGTGAGTGTTCCAAGCCTTCCGCTCTCTACACTGCAACGTCCAAGAAGGCAGGAACCAAGTCTGTCTTGTTCACTGCTGTGTACTACCTCCTGAGCCTGGCCCATGGTATTGGCTTGTTGAAAATTGTTGAATGAACGTGTACCTGTGAACGTTGGTCTACCTCCAAAATTTATGTTCACCAGTTCACCTTCATTACAGCATTCTTATAAACAAAATAATGAATGTGAAAGTGTTTTGTAAACTGTAAAACAAGATACTTGTTTTAAACCTGTAAGATATTATGTTGCAAATATGTATAATGTAGTACCTTCAATTGTGCCCTTAATAACTGTTTGAGAATCTTATTTATTTCACTCAAGTTGGAAAAACCCTCCAAATTACTGCATTAGATAACTTGTCCAGTCATATATAGTACAAAAGTGGCTTGAGGGGAAAAAAACTTCATCAGCCTGATTACTTCCTTTTGCCACTTCCTCAAGTGGCTTTTAGCATATTCAGGTTGCTTGTTTTCTACTAACTGAACGCTACTCAACAGCAAGTAATTATGCTTTTCTCCAGGCCCAGAATAGATCCTATCTTGTCCCTCATTGTGTACTCATGTATCTTCACCAGAGAATCATCATCTCCTTGAAAGTAGGCATCTTGCATCTTTTTATCCCCAGCATCTAACTTTATGGCTGCTTGGTAGAACTGAATACCTGATAGTTGGACTTAATAGATAAATTTATCCTGGAAATTGACAGTATACCTTTACTAACTTAAAAACATGGTAATAAACTGTAAATAATTTTATTCAATGCACTTAAATGATCACTGGCTATTATATCACCAAATGCTTCATAGTCTTCCCTTGGTATCTGCAGGGGATTGGTTCCAGCCCCCACCACGTACCAAGTCTGTGATGCTCAAGTCTCATATAAAATGGCATAGTATTTGCATGTAACCTACCATATTCTCCTGTATACTTTAAAAATTAAAAAAAATTATTTTTTAAATTGAAGTATAGCTGTTTACAATGTTGTGTTAATTTCTCGTGTACAGCATAAAGATTCAGTTATACATATATATTTTCATGTTCTTTTTCATTATAGGCTATTACAAGGTACTGAATATAGTTCCTTGTGCTATACAGAAGGACCCTGTTGTTTCCTGTATAGTTTATTTTTTTCTCCTTTTTAAATTGAAGTATTAGTTTCTAGTGTACAGCATGATTCAGTTTTATATATACACACACACACACACACACACACACTTGTTTTTT